TCCCGTGGTGCTGGCGCCCCTGCTCCCCCCGCTCCCGGGCCTGGTGTCGCTGGCCCCACCGCTGCTGGCTCTGGTGTCGCTGCCGGGTCTGGTCCCGCCGCCACCGGGTCTGGTCCCGCTGCTGCCGGCCCTGCCGGCTCCGTCCCCCTTGCCCCGGCTGCCCCTCCTCCTTTTATCCTCCCCCTCCCTTCCGCCTTCCTCGGTGTCGCGCCCGTGACGTCACCACCGGCGCGCCCTGGCGCCGCGTGATGACGCGTCCCTTCTCCCCCGCTCGGGCTTGCCGCGCCGGTTGTCTGCTCCCCGGCTGCCCCGTGCGCTCCGCGTGAGTGACGGGGTTGCTTCACCCCGTCACAGTCCCCTCTCAGTCTTCTCCTTTCCAAACTAAACAAGCCCAAGTCTTTCAGCCTTCTTTCATAGATAATGTTCTCTAGACCTTTAATCATTCTTGTTGCTCTTCTCTGGACGTCTTTAATTTCTCTACCTCTTCCTTGAAATGTGGTGCCCAGAACTGGATACAATACTCCAATTGAGGCCTAATCAGCGCAGAATAGAGCGGAAGAATAACTTCTCGTCTCTTGCTCAAAATGCTCCTGATGATGCATCCCAGAATCATGTTTGCTTTTTTTGCCACAGTGTCACACTGTTGGCTAATATTTAGCTTGTGGTCCACTATGACCCCCAGATCTCTTTCTTCAGTGCTCCTTTCTAGATAGTCACTTCAACTAGTGGAGGTCAGTAGTGTCTAGCAGTATTACCAACATTTCCACTGTTAAATGGGCTCTTGGGAGACATTTAGCAGTAAATTAGAGTAAAGAACAGCATAGAACACTGAGGCTACTTTCCTTGAAAGTAGGAATAAGGGATCTTCCGGAAAAGGGCTTATTTTCCGCAAGATCCAGTCTAGACTGGCGCTTTTCTCCGGCAAAACCCCGAGCCAGAAAAAAGTGGCAGCCATGTTCATGCAAATGCCGCGGGAGATATTTAAATCCCCCACGGAATTTGCAATTCTGAAGTTTCTCATTAGCATCCCTTTTACGGAAAAGGGTGCCAGTGTAGACACAGCCTGAGAGTCAGGACTGGTTGTTGTAAACAAACTTGATTGGACCATGGGGAACTTGACCATGCTCATGATAAGTCAGCCTCTAAATAACTAAAATCATGCCGGACCATGGATGTTACCGGACCAGGAAGTGCTAGACTAGAGAGGTTCAACCTGTACTTCATAGAGAATGTGTTGGTAAACTTTCATGTGTTCTTTGCATCTGAGTGTGAGCAAAATTAATTAGTGTGTGCAAAATTCTTGGTCCTGACATAAAGTTACCCAAGTAACCCAGGTAATGTTACCTAAGTAACATTAGTTCTTTTGCTATTTTAAACTTAGTTTTGATTAGGACTGTCAGTTGATCTGCGCTAATGCCTGCAATTATCGCAAGGCAGGATTAACACATTAATTTTTGTAATGCGTTAATCGCAGGTGGTAATGCTGCGCTGCCCCTTTGGAGCACTGGTTCGATACTTCAAAGGGGCAGGCAATTAGGAGCCGGGGATCAGCTGGAGTCCCCAGCTGATCCCTGGCTCCTAATGCGCTGATCCTTTGAAGCACTGCAGTGGCGCTTCAAGGAGGCAGTACAACACAGAGCCAGGGATCAACTGGGCATTGCAGTTGATACCAGGCTCCTAATGTGCTGCCCCTTTGAGGCACTAGGGCGGCGCTTCAGGGGGGCAGCGCAACACAGAGCCCAGGATTGTTGCAAGGGGATGTGGATTGCAACTGCTTTAAACACTAAGGAGAGGGGATCACCACATAGGAGTGTAAAGGGTTTGTTTATTCAACTAAAACTGGGAAGGGAGGGGAATCTCACTCATGCACTCAACCACACTTACAGTCCCAGGCAGGATGATAAGGCGAGCAGAAGGCAGTTCACATTATTTGATCTTCCCAAGTTGACTCCTAAGCTGGTCCGCTGGCCAGGCGATCCGAGCAGAGGGTGTTCTGGGAGGCTCCACTTGATGGTCAACAACCACTGTGTCTCTGTCCCTCTCTCCTTTTAGGATCAGCCACATGCAGCCTCTGAGTCTGGACCTCTTGGGGCCATGTGCACTCCCTGCTGGGGGCCGTGTGCATTGTTGTTTACTCCTGCTGTTTACCTCAGACATTCTTCTGCACTCACTCAGGGAAGGGATAGGGGGTTAACAGACAACACTTCCAACAGTTTAGGGAACCAAATAACATTAACAGGTGAGAAAGAACAACCACCATTTTAACTCTCCTCTTGCTCCTCCTTTGCCTCCAACAAGGATCAGCTGCAGTTTCCAGCTGATCCCGGGCTCCGCGTTACACTGCCCCTTTGTAGTGCCAGTCTGGTGTTTCCAAGGGGCAGTGAGGTGCACGGAGCTGGGGTCAGCTGGGGACTCCAGCTGATCCCAGGCACCTGTGGTGCTGCCCCTTTGTATCACCACTGCAGCATTTCAAAAGGGAAACTTCACTGATCCTGGGGTCAGCTCAGGACTCCAGATGATTCCGGGCTTCTGCAGCACTGCCTGTTTGAAACGCTGTGGCAGCATGTCAAAGGGGCAGTGTGCGCGATTAATCACTATAACAATTTTTAATTGCTTGACAACCCTACTTTTAGTATTAGTGATGTTCCTTCTTCATTTACTGCCATGCTGTTGAAATTAATTCTCACTCATTGATTATTATTTACTTCCTATGCATCCTAGTTTTGCATGGTACATTAAAAACTCTTTTTTGCTCCAAAGTGCTTACAATATTCTATTGTTGACTCGTAAGAAAGGAATAGAGATTAGAAATTGGTTAGGTTGGAAATTCTTTGCACAAGGACTGTGTATTTCTATGGGTGCATCTACACAGCACCTGAAACTCAAAATAAGTTACATAATTTGCACTTTGCAAATTGTGTAGCTTATTTCAAGTTCTATTTCGAAATAACATGCTATTTCAAGATATCCCTTAACACTCGTGCGACAAGGTTTACAGGGACGGTGAAATATCGGGTCTGCTATTTCGGGATATCTTGGGGTATCTTGAAGTATCTCTGCTGTGTAGATGTACCATATGTGTTCATACAGCATCAGGCATAATGGGGGCCATGGTTCTATGGTGCTTTTGCTGGCTAATACAGTACAAATAATTGTCTTCCAGAGAGAAAAATGTCAAAAATTGCTTTTTAACCTTTCTTTTGGGATAAATGCATATGTCCCTTAATGTACCAACACATTGTTCTGTTACATAGAATTAAAAGAATGTACAGTCTAGGAAGAGATGTTTCATAAAAAGGATGTAAAATCTTGGTTAATCATTTAACCCAGAGTGGGGACCCTGCAGGCCAGATCACTGCTTCCCATAGCTCTCATTGGCTGGGAATGTTGAACCAAGCCAGCTGGGAACTGTAGGACTTTGTGCCTGGAGGCACTCAGTAAACAAACAATTTTGCAGCCCACCAGCAGCTAACTCTGATGAAGTGCATACAGCCTGTGGGCCGGAGGTTCTCCACCCCTGATTTAACCGGTTAATCCTTAGGTTAAATAGTTACCCATTCACATCTCTATTCCATACCGAAGTACACTTTCCAAAATGTTATTTTAATTGTGGTGTCTTTTTATTAAAAACAAAATCCAGCGTTAGGTGCTATTAAATTGTGCTGGAAAATGCTGCTTGAACTCTTTTTGCTTAAAAAATAAATAAGCCCACATAAAGAGATTTCTGAAGATTGTTCTTGTATATTTGTAGGTCAGGAAAACCAGCTTGTGGCACTGATTCCATACAGTGATCAGAGGCTGAGGCCAAGAAGAACGTAAGTTACAGTAAGAATATGAATGTGTGAAGTGATTAGTTTTTTCTTTTGCTGATACATTTTGTTTAACTTAGATGTTTTTCTCTAAAGAAGAAAGATAAGTAAAGTCACTGAGCAGTCTTTTCTTAGGCTCATTATCTGCAAACAATAGTCCCAAACCATGGTTTATACAGAACTACCGCCAACTCTCAAAACATTGACAACAGAGGTGCAGGGTAGCACATCTATTTTCTAATAAGGTGTTTTTTAACATTGTGCAGTACAATATATTTTGGTACTTATGTGGAATGATAAATATTTTAGAAGACTCTGGCTGTATATTGCTTGAGAATTCAATACCCTTTACTCTAATATGTAGACAAAAGGCCAAATTAATTTGACATAGGTAGACGCAACTTCACTGTCACATCTGAATCAGCTGTGCATTTGGTCCCCTGTGATTAAATAAAGCAGCTGCTGTTGTATATTTCTTTGGAATATTTCTTGGTCATCAGTGTCATTATGATGTAGTCTTGTTGTTGTTGTTGTTGTTGTGTCTATTAAACTTACTAGATCTTCCCATATATTAAATTGGTCAAACCTCAGTGATTTTATGATATATTTTTGATGGTGATCAATAGGGTTTAGATTTTTCTATAATAGACTTTTTGCTTTCATGTCTAGCAGACTTTAGAAATTCCGCAATACTTAATTTGGCAACAATGTGATGTTAGCAATAATAGCAATTGTTAACATGTACTTGAAACGTTAGCAGATAAATACATTTTTATAGTTCTTTATTATAAGATTGTCATCTCTCTGCTAAACTAGCTCCATTTTCTGATTTCCAACACCTAATGTATTTTACTGAAGCCATAGATTTTTTTATTTGCTCACATTTAAGGCTATGTTTTAGTCCCAGGTATTTTTAGTAAAAATCATGGCTAGATCATAGGCAGTAAATAGAAATTTCTGCCTGTTCATGACTTATGTATATACACTAACTAAAACTTGAGCTGGGGACTATGGGTGCTTGGGAGTGGCAATGTTGGCAGGCTCCCTACCTGGCTCTGCGCAGCTTTGGATAAAGCTAGCATGTCTCTGCAGCTCCTATGGGGATAGAAGGCTAGGGAGCTCCATGGCTGCTCCTGCCATGAGCACCTGCTCTGCAGCTCCCATTGTCCAGGAAATACAGCCACTGGGAACTATGAGGCTTGTGCCTGCAGGCAGGATCAGTGTGCAGACTCTCCTGACCTCATCCCCTTGGTAATTGTAGGGACATACTGGCTGCATCTGTGGAGCCCCCTGAGGTAAGCACTGCCCCAGCCCTGAGCCCCTTCCACCCCCCATCAGCAGCAGCAGCTTGGGTAAGGAGAGGCTGAGGTGTCCCAAGACTGTGTTAACTGAAGCCAGTGCAGATGTCTCAGGGGCTGGCTGCACTACCCTTTGCAGAAGTCACAAAGTCACAGAATCTGTGACTTCTGTGACAGACACAGTCTTACTCCTCCAGTAGACCTTATTTTATAATATTGAACTATGACAAGATACCATTTTTATGGGGATGTAAAAATTCTCACATTTTACAATTTAAAATTTGTGAGCACTTAAAGATTGTGTGGTGCGATTAGGAATCGTCTAGATATGGAACAATGGTAAGTAGATTCTAAAGAAACTTTTTGTTGTCCAAGCTTGGAACAAATCTGCAGTATTACAAAGCTTTATTTCATATGCCTTGCTCTTTTTTCCAGGAAACCAAAACTCACAATGTTTAGTTAAACAGAAATGTAAGCAAACTAGTGGCAGTACTATTTAGATTTAGTATTAAATATTTCTCCTGGAAGACCAGATGCTTTGCAGGGCATATGAGAGCCTCATTTTCATATATGACAGTATTTCAGAATTTGATTTGCTTGTTCTGAGTTCTACTTCAAATTAAGAATATTTTTGGATCATGGGTCTTTTTCTTAAATATACTTAACACCAACGTTTCTTTATAAACTTTACATCAGAGCATCCATGTATATACTACGTTACATTGCTTGCTTACATATTTGAACTCTGCTTGAAAGCAAGGTAAACCTATGTTCCAAGATTTTTTCTTAAACATAATATACAGTTTAATTATTCTCAGTTAAAATGGAATTTAAGGAGTTAAAGTGAAAGGTTGAAACAAAGCGGATTAAATATCTTGATTTTATGGAGGAATGCTCATATACTTATGAAGAAAATATAGGAAAGAAGTGGTTTGAATTTTATAACAAATTACTTTGGTCAGTTATATAATTAAATTAACATTTTTTGTTTTTGCAGAAAGCTTTATGTGACGGCTTCTGTAATTGTGTGTTTACTCCTTTCTGGACTGGCTGTATTCTTCTTATTTCCTCGTTCCATCGATGTTGAATACATTGGAGTGAAGTCAGTATATGTCAGTTATGAAACAAGTAGGCGCATAATATATCTAAATATTACGGTAAGGCATTCTGTGACTATTGATAAAGTGGACAGTGTATTTGTGTAAATTGTCTCCCTATAAAACACAATGCATGGTTCAAAATAAAAATGCTTTACTATATAGAATTTACCATGCACATGATGTGTATCTTTTATTTATAAGCATTCTGACAGTGTTTATCTGCATTTTATGTTGATTATAAAGACAGTGAGAACTGTTTGAATGGTCAGATTCCCTCCCTGGGAATCTACTGTCAAACTTCCATCTGGTCTGGACCTTTGGGGAACAGTAGAGGTCTTGCAGCATGACTTAGAGGTAGAAACTGCTTGGGGAAGGTGTACCCTGGATTCTGAGTCTACTCTTAAGAAAGATATGCCTTCTATAGATCTGTACCTGTAATCTACTAAATATCGTGTACAGGGTGATTGCATTTTTTGAAATGCAGCCTTCTAAAATGTGTGAGTATTGTAAGTGTTCAATACCAGCATTCTGAATTGGATAAAATGGTGAACAGGGAAATAATTTGGTGCGCAGATGGCAGCATGCTGGAGGGAGGCTGAGAGAGGGGCCACTCTGAATACAATTGCTAAAACTTCCACATGTAGTATATGCAGATGTATGTTCTCCTGTGAACAGGTGAAGTAGTTCCAGTTTTCCTTTATCTCTATTCTTCATGGAGTTTGAATTATTTATGAAAACCCAGTTATTCATTGTATTGAACAGGAGTGAATTTTCTTTTACTGCATGCATTAATGAATAAGCTGACAAATATTGTGGGAAGAAAATTGGCATACTTTTACAACACTCACATTTACCTTCTAAGACCTTGTTTAGCCTAAAAGTAATGAAATTTAGTAAAATTATTAACTACCATTTGTGAAAACACCACTGTCTCTGTCTCCACCAGATGCTGTCAAGTGTTTTAAAACATGTTTTAACCTGTTAGTTCTCAGGACAAATATTTTTGGTGACCTCAGAGTAGGGATGTAAAATACTGTTTAGTTAATTAACTGGTTAAATGTTAAACTTAACTGGTTAAATGCAGACAGGTGCCACTTCCACATGGGTCTGTCACTTCCATCCCCACATGGAGCTGCTGGCTCCCAGACTAGCAGCCCCATGCTGGGGCGCAGTAGGGTTGCTCCCCAGGTACTGGTTAACCATCACTGGTAAAGGCAATGGTTAGGGTTAGCTACTAGTTAGTGGTTACCTACTAACATCCCTATGATCCAGTGGGTTGATCCAGCCTGTGGAGGCCCCTTCTGCTCCCCCGCCCCCAGGTCAATTAGAGCCTGGGGGCAGGGAGAAGCACATATGCAGCGCAGTCTCCTGGCAGGGCAGGAGGAGACTTCACATGCTCCCCGTCCCCAAGTCCTAATTGGCCTGAGGGCGGGCGGAGCATGTGAAGTTTTCTCCACCCTGCCCCTGCCCTGTGAGGAGTGTGTGGCGCTTAGAAGCGCATTGCACTCCTGGCAGGGTGGGATGAGACTTCGCTGGCTCCCCTGTCCCCAAGCCCTGATTGGCCTGGGGACAGAAGGGGGAGTGCACAAAGTCTCTTTCTGCTGTCAGGGGCACAGGTGCCCAGAGGGAATCTCGGGGAGGGGACAAAGGCGCTCCCCCACCTCCAGACCAATCATGGTCTGTGGGTGGGAAAACAGGGAAGCTTTCTGCTTGAGGCCCCGCCCCTTCTGGTGCAATCCCGGGGCCACTTCAAACATTTCTGAAGTTGCCCCGGTAAAAAAAAAAAATTATTGCCCACCCCTGCTATAATCCGTTCCTGCTGGGGGACCACTTTCATATTTTTCCTAAAATATTTATTAGTTTTAGGAAAAATAAATAACCATGCACATATACATGTCCAACTAATTGTAATTTATTTGTTTGTTAGTAAGTCTGTGGTGTGATAAGTGATATTAACAAATGAACACATCACTTTTCACAGCGCACGTACTCAGCCCTGGCAAGCCTGGGGACAAATTCATTCCTGGATGGGAGTCGGGGAGGCAACAAGAATTAGGAGAGATGGGATGGGGGGGTTGCTAAAGGAGGAGCTGGAGCCTGAAGCCCTGTGGCTAGATTCCAGGGCCTGCTGCCTCAGAGCTGGATCCCAACACCTTGATGCCCCCCACACAGGGCTGAAGCCCAAAGACTGGGCCCCACCACCCTAGGAAGATGTGGAACTCCTCAACTGCCTTCTCCAGCGCTGTGCCTGAGGTATCTCTGAAGTCAGGACGAGGTTAGCAGGGGCCAGCCCCTGCTGGCAGCCCAAGCAACCAGCACCAAGATGGTGCATCCAGGAGTAACAGGGAGGGCCTGCTGTTTTGTCACTTGCTCCCCTTCAGTCACAGCTCAGGAGTCTGTGGCTGCAAGAAAAGTCCCTGGTGGCTATATGCAGCCGAGGTAGCCACATTTGAAAAACAGTTTTGAAAAATATGTGTAGCGAAAGAGATAAAGCAAAAGATAGCTTATACAGCTATACCACTTTGACAGGAGATGCCTTAATGTCTTCTAATCACAAAATGGTTATTTTCCAAGAAACTCATGATGAGCACTTCTAAAATTCTCTTTTTTCTTCTTCTTCAGAACACTCTAAATATAACAAACAATAATTATTATTCTGTTGAAGTGGCAAACATTACAGCCCAAGTTCAGTTTTCAAAAACAGTTATTGGAAAGGCAAGGCTAAACAATATTACCAAAATTGGGCCACTGGATATGAAGCAGGTATGTGTGGATATGCTTTTTAAATGAACTGTATTTTATGTTGTGTTTCTTATCATTACACTGACTTATTGTGGTTTTTTCCCCAGATTGATTACATGGTGCCCACAGTCATTCAAGATGAAATGAGCTACATGTTGTAAGTGTTTGGCTTTTAAAATATGTGTGTACAGTATTGTACTAATAGTGCCCACTAAAAACTGTTTACCACACTGTTATACTATATTTGGAATAGAAAGAACTGAATTTATACAGTAGGAAAGCAAATATTGCTTTTTGTGAATGTTATGTGGGACTATGAGTGTTGCTGTGCTAGATCAGATCTTTGGTTCATTTACTTCAGTTTCCTGTCTTTAGCATTATTCAGTATCAAATGCTTCAGAGACAGGTGTAAGAATTCTTTTAATGTACTGATATACAATAACCTCCTCCAATACTGAAATATTGTTTAGCTAGAAGTTGATTTATAGGCAAAACGAGGGATTATATCCCTTATTTATCCTATTTGGACTATGGCTATGTCTATGGATGTATAATGTAACCAGTGTGATTGCAATTGAGGAGACACATTATTTAGATGCTTTTGTACATTTATAATTTCAAATAATGTGGTTTGAGTTGAAATTTCAGTTGAATTTTGTAACTTGGTAAAACTTAATTCTCTCATTTTTGCTACCATAATATGAAGAATCTTCTGTCCATGAATGTCTTTCAGATGAGCTTTTTGTATTTAATTAGTTGACTGCTGTCTCCCACCAACATCTATCCACACCAAAGCTTTTGTCAGTGTAACGTATGTAGCTTAGGCAAGTGGCTTATTCATATCCCTGAGCGTCATAATTTACGTTGACTTAAGCTATAGTGTAAATGTAGCCTTATGTATTGAGGCTTTTCTGTTGTGTTTTTTCTGCTGATATCTTGAGATTTCAATTGCATTCTTGGTTGCAAAGCCCTACTATCACCTGGTTACAAAGCCCTTTGAATGTCAAGTCTACAACTAATCTTTCCCTTGACTCACTTTAAAAAGAAGCAATTAACAGACAATTTTTTTACATTTAGATAAAATGACTTTTTGCATGTAAACTTAAAGGGATTTGTGTGTAGAGAAGATGCCAATATGCTCTATTTGCAGCAACTTTTAACTAAAATATTTTATAGTTAAAGATGAAGTAGGACATAAATAGCCTGTCAATTAAAATATATATTTAGTTTTGTGTTTTAGCTAGTTACATTTTACCACTTGATTAGTCTAATTCTGGTTTTGTTGTTTCAGCGATTACTGTACCTTGTCATCTATTAAAGTGCATAACATAGTAGTCATGATGCAGTAAGTATGGATCAGTAGTATTTGTGTATAAAAGTAACTAGCGAAGTCATGTAGTGCATTTGAATATTTTCATATACAGTGTTCTTTAATGTGGGGGAAATATATCCTATATAAAATGAATAAACGTTTTAATTTATAATGTGGTAATAATGGCTTTATGGTTTATTAAATCTCTTCTTTGCATGCTTCAGCTTTTAAGAAGTTATTTGCAGTTTAAATGTGATCTTGCCTTAATACGGAGCCTGGAAGTGTGAAGAAACTTGCATAGCCAATTCCAGTGGTATATCTGCTCTGTGATTGGAGACCTTTTTCTGATAAATTAATTTTTAAGAAAGCTCTTAAAATGAATTGTTCACTTACTGACAGGATTATAGTATTTTTATAGTTACAAAAGTTTCACTTTAAGCCTGAAATTGTCCCTTACTAGTGATGTAAAATCCCACCTAATTGGTTAACTAGTTACAAGTAATGTTTAATCAGTTAACTAATTAAAGGGGGAACTGCTCCTGTCCCCACTGGTTAACCGGAACCTGCTAAGGGTGAAGCTTACCATTTAACCGGTTAACCATTCACATCCCTATCTCTTACCTATCTCTTTCCTCTTCTTCACCTGTATACATTGTTGCAGGCTCACTGCCAGTTTGTCGTGGGTGTGAAGACTAGAGGTGTTGAATATTTGGTGTGGTGTGGATATCAATTTTTACCTTGCTTTTGTACACAGATAAAAAATAGAATGAAGTTTGGACTTTTACAGTTCATCTTAACACTTAATCCAGTCCATGACTATTTTTAAAACTCAACAGGATACGCTAGGAGTGTGTTTTAAGGGATCAGACCGTCAACTGGAGTAAATGAATACCACTTCATTGGTTTCACCATCATCTCCAAGTATAGGATAGACCTATATAATGGTAGCTCTGTGTATGTAGTACAATATTAACTTTAATTAAACTTAGCTAGCTACTAATGTAAAATAAAATGTTTGAAGAAAATGTGTATTTAAAACATTTTATATAAATTAAGCAATTTTTATCTGATTAAAAATACTAATCATCTCACAATTTTTTTCTATAGTCCTTACAAACCAAACATCTCTTTTCTTTTTGTCTGTATTTAAGAGTGACAGTGACGACCTCTTACTTTGGCCACTCTGAACAAATATCCCAGGAGAGATACCAGTATGTAGACTGTGGTGGAAACACGACTTATCAACTGGGCCAGTCAGAATATCTAAATGTACTTCAACCTCCACAATAAAAGTGGCAGAATGGATGATGCGGAAAGAAAAATATGGTAGTTGTTGCTGCCAGATTTCATTTTAGTAGAACTATTGATCAGATTTGCTGCTATTTGAAGCATTGTGTGTGTAAAGTAAAAAACCTGAAAGTCTGCTCATTTATTATATAATCTGAGGGGGGCAGGGGGAGAGAAACCATGCAAAATGTATATAGCCCTTTCTCTTCTAGGAAAAAAGCATCTTAAATTTTGAGAGAGAACTTGGATTATCCCCTACAGTACAAGAGTTTTAAAATGTGCATATATTTAGCCATAAAGATGAAACAGTATCTCTAAGGAACACTTGTGAGAGAGGGAAAAACTATATGAACTGAAAGATAAGTAATGAGAACTGAATTTGTGACACAGTACTACAGATCAAGGCTTCTATTTAAGTCACCAGTTTCCTATAGACTGTCTGGATATGTCTATATATGTGGTAACTAGTCGTTGAGGCTAAATTAGTAAATTTATGGCAATATGGCTTCCTTTATATTGGAATTCTGGTTTAGATATATTTCCGTTACAGGTTAACTTCTTGATTATTTTTTTCACTCCTTAAACATAAACAAAACTCTTACTGACTTGAATGAAAGTTTTTGTTCTCCTTGAATGTGGAATTCTGGATCTCCTGTCAGGTTGGCTACTGTTCGTCGTTTGTTTCTACCTCCTCCCTGCCTCTACCATGGGATGGGAAGCTAAGAAAATGTTCACTATTCATATTTTTAAAAAATGAATTGTGTATATAACAAAAATGTACTGCTTTGCAAAATTCATGAGTTAAAGAAAAATGTTAAAGTCCCTATTGGATTATGAAAGATACAAATTGTGTAAAGTTGTTATTCCTTTATTTTGTAGTTTGGAGTTACAAGTGTGTCACTTTCAAGATTTCACAAAAATCACTTAAATATTGTGTGCATAGCAAGACTAGATATATCTTTTGAAGAGCAAGGTGTAAATTAAAAATATAATTAATCATAATCGCTTTGAATGTGTACCTAAACAACTTGTCAGTGTTAATGTCTGTATGGACTGACTAAGCAGTTGTTGCACAAATGCTCTTGAACTCTCACACTTCAAATTATGAGATTTGGAAATGCAAGTGCCTATACAAACACCAAACTAGAATAACTCAAATATGGCTTCTTTCTGATCACAAAACAAAATAATCCTGAGTATAAACGTTTTCCATGTCACTGAAGGCCAGGTATAATTGGCCCTGGAAATGGGTATTTATACGTTTCACCTTGTGAGGAGCATAATTTAATTTAGAGTAAATCTTAAAATCTGTTTTTTTGGGTATATTTAATGTCTTTAAAACACTTTTGTTCTTTTACTAGAATTAAAAAAGCTTGAGCTTTAGCTAAAAGAATCCTAATTTAGTTCTCAATTGGATAATTACAGATTGTATACTGTGTTATTTAGTGGTTAGATTATTAAATTGAAATGAACAGTATTTTTAAACAGCTTTAGTGCTTCCATATTTTTCCAACATAGGATATTAGAAATAAGTATCCAGTTCATTGAAAATAGTATTATATCCTAAAGGTAACTTTTCAGTTAAGCAACAGTCTGAAAATTTGAAAATGCATTTTTTTTCCTCTCACATATTTTTGTAGTATAAAATTAAACTTCACAATTAAAAAAAAAAGTTCCGCATGGGTATAAAGTTGTGCCTGTTTATATCCCTTTACATTATTGGACTCTAAATCATCATAATCTTGTAAATTGTGCTGGCCAGTTGACACTAATAGAACCAGAAGACACTATGCTGGCATTACAAAATCAAGTTACTTTTTGGATTCTTAAAATATTTTCAGTACTAGGTTGGTAAACTTGAAAAATGATGAATAAACGGAATAAAAAACAGTATACTGCACTTAATATAACCTGGTGCATTTACACATAAATACTTAGTTGTAAATGCTCAGTCTTATAGCTGACAATAGCAAAGCTCGGGAGGGTTGAGATGATTGGCTATGTTGGAAGTTGTACCAGAATTTGCGAGGAGCAGCTATCTGTCTATAGTTTAATGGGAGCTGATTTCTTAACTATTGACTGGCATATAGAGAGGCCCTGGCCAAACTCTTGTGCCAGCAGTAGAGAGTAGCGTGGTAAGAGTTGCTGCTGATAGAGCTCTCTGCCACTGAAGGATCTCCATAGATCATGGTAATCTTTCTGAATCTGGCCATGCCAGATTTAAGGCCAGATCCGGCCAATGGTACAGTGTAAAACATTCCATGAGCAAAACTGGGGGCTCTGAAATAGACCGAAACTCTTTTGTAATTTTACTTCTACATAAGCTTTGAGTATTAGCTATTTTAAGACAATGATCCCGGAGTAAAATGAATAGTGCTGTCAGTAGATAGACATTTGTGTGAAGCTAGTTACTTTCCATAGGCTAGTCCAGCTAAGAAACTTTTGGTTCAAGAATATAGGAATATTAAACAGCTAAGAGCTTGATTCTGAAAAGGGACCTATCTGAATGTGTGTAGGGTCGAATGGGTGAGAAATAGGGCATGAAATAGTACAAGAAACTCAAGTTAGAAAGCTTCCTCATTTCATAGATACCCCCAAAACTGCTAATTGGGTCCATAGTGAAGCATATCCTTGAAATACTGATTTATTTGGTCACAAAATCTCCTCTGAGGGGAGGGATATATAACTTAAATTAAGGTGCTTAATTTGCACCTTTGGAATGTTAACTTGGAATTGATTCTGGAACCCCAACATAAGATGGAAGGGGAGGTTAATGTGTATTGTAAAAATTGTCCCAAAACTGCTAATTGGGTCCATAGTGAAGCATATCCTTGAAATACTGATTTATTTGGTCACAAAATCTCCTCTGAGGGGAGGGATATATAACTTAAATTAAGGTGCTTAATTTGCACCTTTGGAATGTTAACTTGGAATTGATTCTGGAACCCCAACATAAGATGGAAGGGGAGGTTAATGTGTATTGTAAAAATTGTTATGTGTATAGTGTGTCATTTGAATTTTCATAGTTTTTATTTTTTAGCAGATCTGTTACACTCTAAATGGAAACTGTTGCCATATGACTGAGATGATGTAAGCTCAGGGACAACGATTGCCTCTTTATTCTGTGTTTATAAAGCACATAGAACAAGAGGAGTCCTGATCAAATACTGGATTCCCAGGCATTCTAGTTACACAAATAATAAATAATGTGCTCTAATGACATTAAACAGAAAATGTGCTTTTAAAACAGGGATGGGCAAGACAGCCTCAGCGGGCTGGATCCAGTTTGCCAAGCAGGTTGTGCTGGCCCGTGGATGCTCTGCTGCTCCCCGCCGCCAGGCCAATCAGGGTCTGGGGATGGGGGAGTGGGCATAGTCTCCTGCCCTACCAGGGGAATGCAGTGCTTAAAGTGAACAGTGGTAAGTGCCATGTGCCCCTTGCAGGGCGGGGGCAGGGAGTGAGAGACTTTGCACACTCCCCTGCTCCTAGGCTCTAATTGATCTGGGAGTACGGGGAGTGTGAGAAGCTTCCTCCTACCTCCAGGGATGCAGGCACCTAGAGGGAAATGCCAGCCTTTCAGTACAACTGGCAGTTCTCTTGGAGGAAAAATGGGGGTAAAGACTTCATATGCTTCCCCACCCCCAGGCTAACCAGGGTCTGTGGGTGGGGGAGCAGGGAAGTGTCCTGACCCCGCCCTTTCCGCCCAAGGCCTCACCCTTTCCGGGGCGGCCCAGGGCCACTTCAGATATTTGTGAAGTGGCCCCTCTTCTAAAATCGTGGCCCATGATTGTCAAACGTGATTTAAAACATGATTATCAAATATATGCAATGTTTAAAAAACTAAATGCTTAATTTATATTGAAGTAAACTGCATAGAATGGTAGGTCAATAAGATATTATGCATTTTGATCTGTTTCTACCTAGAAAAATTGAACCCCATTTAATTTAAAATACGATGCTATCAAAAAAGTATCCTACAAACTCTGGAGATCTACCCACTAAATACACAGTAAAGGAGTTCAAAAGGCAAATTTTGTTCTGAAAGATATAGCCAATGATTTGTTGTTACTTAACAGTTGTAGAAGAAAAACGCCTTTTGAGATGTTCACCTCACTTCTAACTTTTTTCCTCATCTTGAGACTCTTTTGATAGAAAATTGCATAATTATTTTAAAAAATTGAGTATGGAGATTAGTGTTCTTGTAACAATTTGCAATGCAGCATAGCTTGACAGTTTTAAAGCACTTCTGATGTGTGCATGACCTTAATATTAACATTTCTATTACCTTTGACAACTTTATTGTAACATATATAATGACTTTGATACATATTGTCCTTGAAATTCTCTGAGTAATCTGCTAAATAGTATTCAAAACATTGTTTTTCTTTTTTTAATGTAAAGTGACCAGTGCAGACTATTGAAGCACTGATGTTTTACATTTTCATCATGGACTTAGTACTGCCAGCTGATTCATTGAAATATATCCTTAGAGAGGGTGAAACAATGGAAGTGTTTGGAGGCAGTATGCTGAGTTGTAGTCAAAAGTTTTTAGTTGCCATTGTTAAAAGCTGAAATATAGTATGAAAAACTCTTACTCTTAAACGTGTGTAAGAAGTCTATAACCAAAAAATTTTTGTAAGTTTTGTTTGCTAACTACCTGGTACTAGACAGTGGAACTTGTTTAAGTGTATATTCCCGTTAACTTCTGTGGGACTAGTTAATGTCCAAGAGTTAATTACATGAGCAACATTTGCAGAATCGGTGCCTTGTTTGGCATTTTCATAACTTAAATAAAAAGTAATCCAAAAAGCTACCTGTGTGGTGACACTTCAAGATATATTCCTTTTGTAGAAGGGGCAATCTATCTTCTGTAAACTGCATTAATCAGAAATGAGTTGGGATAAATGAGTAACTATAGACTTTTTATTCAGCATATTAAAAATATCAATTTAGTGTGTTCAGAGGTCTAAAGTAACAGTATTTGTTGTTTAGATTGATTTTTTTGATTTTTTTTAAGGTCAGTTTTGAACTATCTTGCTCCATGGAATGATAACTACTAGATGTATTACAAAAACATCATACGCTGTTGCATTTGGCCATACTTATGGCCTAATGTATTTAATTGGGTATGCCGACAGGGTAAGGAAATGTAGTTCGTTCTTCTGGCCATGAAATTCTAATCTTTGGGCCTGTTTTAGACATGGATGTACTTAAGATTATCAAGATCCTCATTATCTGTGAGGAACAATTTTTAATTGGTAAGAAATGTGAAGAACAGAGAAGTTCCTGCTTTTGGCATCTGTCTAAACCAGAAGGTACTCCCAGGACTGGATTAAAATGCTGTGTTACAGCTTTAGGTATTGGTAGTGCACCAATAAGTATAATGACATTTGGTTATGGTGATTGATGGGAAACAAGCCCTATGCTTTTGGTGTAGTTGTCTTTTGGGCATTAAAGTTTTTACATTACATACTAAGCCACTTCATGAGCTAGTCCTTGAATTTATTTTAATGAGTCATTTTCACCAATATAACCACTATTAATGTTAATTGTACAAAAAATGCATATTGCTAAAGATATGTATAGAGATGCTAATAGGTGATAACTATTTTTGTAATTTAGAAACTGTAACTGTTGCCCTTGTAATTGTGTAGCAGATATGTTTGCATTCAATTTATAAGCATGGTAAATAAAACTTCCATATGCCAGTGTATGTGGACATGCTTCTAGGACACATCAGTTTATCTTAATGTTAGTAAACTGAGGGGACTATAAAATTATGTCACTACTTTTATTTAAAATTCTGAAAGGGACGTCAAAGTGGGAATTTTAAAAGGAATTGTGCACTCATGGAAAGAATGATTAAAAGTTAATTTTTGAAAATAAACTTACATCCTGTAGTTTTTGAATAACTGACTTTAATCCTGTGTTTTCTAAGAAAAGAATTTTCTTGTGACTTGAGCTTTCATACACTAATAGCTTAAGTGTTATAGTGTTGTATATACATTTCAGGCTCTCTAGCAGCAAACCTTTATGAGGCTGCCCTAGTCCTGACCTCCCCACCTTTAGAGCCAGCACCCTGTCCTACACTCTTTTGCACCCTGGACTCCCTTCTGCATCCTAAGCCCCAGCCCTGATCCTTCTCTCAGAGCCAGCCCTTCCGCTCCCCCCCCTCCTGCTCCCTGGCCCTGATCCGACTCTCAAAGCCAGCACCCCAAACTATCTCCTGCCCCCTGAGATCTCTGCCCCAGCTCTAACCTCCCTTTCAGCGACAGCAGCCCATGTCCCATCCTGCACCCTGAGCACCTTTCCTAGCCCTGACCACCCTCAGAGCCAGCACCCTGCATTCCTTCTACACCCCAACCTCCTTCCCCAGCCTAATGTAAGTGAGCGAGAGGAGGGTGAGGGGTTGAGTGAGTGTGGCATGGCCTCAAGGAAGGGTCAGGGTAGATCTTTGGTTGCCCTTAATTTCAGAAAGTGATCATGTCCATAAAAAGGTCAGGGGTCAGCAACCTATGGTACGAGACGGGAGCTGAGGGGGAGAGGGAGCATCAGTCTAGGGTGCTACAGACAATCCTTCTCCAGCTCACACAGTAATGGTGCTTTCCAACTGCATAACAGTTGGATAAAATTTAACCTTGTGCAAACACCAACCTTCACAAGGCCCAAGTGAAGTGGGCTGGCCCTGAACCTCTGTCCTCTGTCCCTTCCCCTCACCCTGTGAGGCTCGAGCACCAGAGGAGTGAAGTATCTCAGTTGGAGGCCACATCAGTGAGGATTGGGGAGGTTGGAGGAGTTTTTTTTTTTTTTGCTTTTCACTTGTGTGGTCCCCTACTGATATTTTCTGTGGGGGCAGTGACCCTCTGACCCAAAAAAGGTTCCTCGCTCCTCCCATAAATAAAGAAAATATTGAAACCTTTTGTGTTGGACATAATATTTTACTTCATTTAAAATGGAGTTTGATAAACTAACATGAGAGTTAAAATGCTTAATCTGTCTAATAATTTAAATTAAACCGTTCTCCCTAGCTGCAGCTGATTCTGAAAATATGGTCACGGTACCTAGCCTGCTCTTGCCCAAGTTAAATCTTGGCACACCACTTCTGAAAGGTTGCTAACCCCTGAATACAGCAATACAGTAACTGTTCTAATCCAGAATGTTGTGTGTCTAAAGGAAATTCCACAGC